AACGAGCATTGCCCTCGTCGGGACTCGAACCCTGAATCCCTCGAATACGCGCCGAGTGTGCTATCGTTATACCACGAAGACATGCTGGAAAGGCGGGAGAAAGTACCTTATATACTCCCCCTTTTAAAGGGCGACTGGGGATTAGGGGAGCTAGTCGCCAAATGCTGGTGGTGATTAATTGTTGTCTACGACCTTTTAGTTCGGGGCCATTTTTAGAGTGACTAGCTTTTTTTTTTTGAGGAAGTGAAGAATGTGTAATGTCCTCACCAGAACTCGAACCTGAACCTCTTTCATAGGCGCCTAGTGTGTTACCGTTACACCACGAAGGCATGCTGGAAGATTATATGATTATGTGATTAGTAATGTTAGTACGGTGTTAAAGTTTTAAAGGTAGTTAAAATTTAGTACATATTATAAAATATGTATTGTTTAAAATTTCGGAAGTACCCTGCACAACAAGTTGAATTCAGAAATGTGTAAAACTTACTTGACTGAGACGAAATAAATTTTGGAAATTCTTAATTTCTCTGTCCGGCTCAGTTAAAACTGTTAATTAGTTAGATTTAGAAGTGTTTGTTTTGAAATTCTTGCCTCAAGGTTGTTATACAGGAAGCCTGCAGGGCATTGTACTGTTCTATACGTGTAATCGTGACAAATGCTTCGAATGACTGAGTTGAAGTTTTAGGAACGCCCACTTCTCTAAAAATATATCTTGCTGTTGGAGGGGATGTAAAAATAGTTTTAATGTGTTTTACACGCGTGTGGACTGTTTGGTTTAGACTTTTCACATGGTTCCAACAGAAGCAGGGGTGTTCTTGGTAAAAGTTGGCAGACTTTCAGAAAGTTCTTCCAGTTAAGTCGGCTCTCCCAGGAACTCACAGACGAATCAAGTCCTCTAGCTTGATATCATAAGCTAATAGCCGGCAGCTAACGTTACATGCGCATTCCATTATGTTATGCATAAAAGGGACAAGCGTACCGAACAATGGAGTTTTTCATTTCCTGAGAGAATTCTTTTTCTCGTCGACACCATTTCCTTGTTTGGATCTGGCCATTAAAGCGAGAGTCGGATTGTATAGTAATGATGGTTGGTGATTTATTGTAAATACGATTCGTATGTATTTTAGCCCAGAAATAAAGGTTTCCATGCCTTTTGCAGTCTTCATATGGTAAATGAATATGATATTACATTAAAATAAAGTTTAATCAATAGTTGTCAAAGATCTTCGGTGATGTTGTCAAACAAAGCGTTTAGAAATCTTTCACAGTGGCCACTTCGTTCATTCGAAATAAATCAGTAGTTCTTCGAAAATGAACAAATTAAGCACATAAATGATAGTCATTTTCTCAAAGACAGTCGCCTCTGTGCGATATCAAAATTGGCCGGAACTACAGAAGACCGTTTTCGGGATGTTTCAGTGCGTAATTTGTAGAAACAATTAGATAGGAAACGAATAGGAAACAGATAAGTAGATAGGAAAATGTGCCAGAATTTAAAATGTCATTATTTTTCTTCAATTTGCTACTTTTTAAAATGGATTGATGAATATGTTCTTTTATTGAGCTAATTATAATAAAGATAATTGATTATCATTTTTATTAGAAAAAGCTTATGTTTCCAGAAGACTTTGCGTTGACGGGGCAAATTCGAAGCTCGGAGCCCCTTGCAGCCACCAAAGCCCCGTTTACAAGAGCAAATTCGATCGGTAGCGAAAACCGGTTCTTGCAACGTGTCCCATTCACATGGCGAACAAGCATTAACTGCCTCGCCGAATTGGAGGTAAAACTTGGTTGAATGTTCCTACCCAGGACTTATAGAAGAGATCTATTTATCCCTGGTTCTTACCTCTATTGGAGCAGGGCAAATGGGAAGATTTTTCATACTCCACTGCGCAATTGCGCTGTTCACTAATTTTTACAAACATCATGGCTGACGTGCAACTGACTGCTCGCTGGACTGTCAGCGAAACAATCGCGTTGATAGATATCTGGGGATGCGATATCGTCCAAAAAAATTAGATGGAACCGTACGAAATACGGAAATTTGTAAATTAGTATAGACAAGGTTATTTGATGCTGGGTATTCCAGAAATACCGTTCAAATTAAACCTAAAGACGTGCATATCGGCTTCAACGAAACATGGGGACTCGGTACCTTTTGAATGATTTTTTTAAAATTTAAGAACATTCATCTACTTTTTTTTTAATATTATTAAATATAGTTTTGTAAGACAAGATAATTTTAAGCTGAAAGAAATGTTTTTTCCCAAACTTTTTAGTCCAAAGGGACAGTTTGCCCTGAAGGACTATTTATTTCGTTTTGACGTTTTGCGTTGAAAACTAAACGGCGAGAACATGATATTTAATAAATAAAGGCAACACACAAAACGTTAAAAAAAAGTTTGGACGTAATTTAAAATTTGAGAAACCTTTCAAATTTTTTAATACATTTTTTGGCTAGTAATTTTTTTTAATTTAAATTTTTTGAAGAAAACTTTAACAATTAAAATGCCATTCTTTTCCCACAGTTTTCAATGTTTTTTCCCAAACTTTCTTATTGTATTTATTAGAGAGTTCTTAATAACTTTAATGGTCGATTTTGATATTAATGAATTAGTTAAGAAAAATAAAAACATATTTTTATGTAAAAACTTTGAAACAAATATCTCATTCGCATTTCATTTCAAATAAATTTTCTTTTCAGTATTTTGCAAAACCCATCCTTGCTCCTATAAAGTATATAATTTTAAGAAAGCGGTAAAAATATTAAATAATTTAAGCCATATCTATATAAGCTTGAGGACATTAAATAAAAGGATTTATCGAAAAAATGCAAATTGAGGAAACGCACTTAGAAAAGAATATAAACGGCCTAAATCATCATTAAATCATTTCAAATTTCTTAAAAATATTACTACTGAATTTCAGTACATATATATATAATGTTGTATGATCTTAAATTCATTTAGTGCGAAATCGAGTTATTCCACTACTTGCTCAATAGCTGCAAAGTAAGTTAATAATAATTTATTTACTAAAGAAATATTGATTATATTATCTCCTAAGATTAATTTTAGTAGAATTATCTAAAAAGAGTGAATCCATAGTTAGTAAGTTTAATTCCGAAAATTGTTTTAAAGTAACTTGAATGTAAATTGCTAAAAATGTTTAACTGGGACTTGAATTAAATCGTGAATAACAAAATTTCAATTGTAAAAAGAAATTAAATTAAAAGCAAGTAATTAAATTAAAAGCAAGTAATCATTGCCATTGATCGGAAATTAGTTGACTTTTCAAGGGGAACAAACCAACTTCCGTTCAATGAACAATAACTAAGAAATAAATACGAAGGTGTTTCGTCCTTTACTCAAGTAATAAGGCGATGCCAAACTGGCAATTTAAGTTAGGCCAAATATTTCCGTGAATTGAAGGGATCAAGAACCAATGCAGAGCACTAAAGAACTCATTCTGATTAAGCATTTTTGCTAATTCAATTTTGAGTGAAAAGCAATTTATGCAGTAAAATTGATAAATTAGTTGAATCATTGTCCCCGACACCCTCGTGTTTATATGCATTTTAATTCAAAGGAATTAAACTTACTAACTATGGATTCACTCTTTTTAGATAATTCTATTAAAATTAATCTTAGGAGATAATATAATCAATATTTCTTTAGTAAATAAATTATATATATATATATAATATAAAACCGATATATATATAATATAAAACCTAGTGCTATTCAGTAGGTTAATATAAACATAAATTACAAACTTTTATTTAAAATCTTCGTAAAACAGGTTCAAAACAATTTTAACGTATGAATTAATTATAATATATTTTCTAAAATGTTTATAATCAATATTAAAACGTTTATAATTAATGTAAATAAAATTAATGTAAATAAATTTGTCGTTTTATTAATTTTTTCAAAAAGCGAAGTTTGAAACTTTAACAGCCAGAAAACATTTTATTTAAAACCGTTCAGCTATATACGTGATTTCTTTTCTTCTTTTAATCATTTGGTCTCGTATGTAAATTACATTTTAAATTAATTTAGGTGTATTTTAGTTAATTAAAGAGTTAAACTCCGATGGCTTTTGACATCAATAATAAAAAATGCCAAAAAAGATGTGAGCAAACGTTAGAAATATGCCAATCCGATCCGTGAATATCATTCATTGCTCGCAGTGGTTTACGGGTTGAGGGATGGAAGACGATGTGCATCTGAACCGGTCCTGAAGGCCAAATTGCTTCATATCCCAGTTTGAAACGGTGGCTGCGCGAAAGCGTATTGCATGTGAACGGGGCTTAAGTCCGCTAGCGGCTAGCCGCTTAACCCGCCTCTGGTATAACCACTGTCTGAAGGATTGAAATTAAACTGTATTATCTTATCTTCTAACTATTATATATAGTTGAAAAATATAAGTGCGCAGGTGGACGGTGATTTCTGCCCAAGATTGGACAAATATTCCAGAAAGTAAATTTGTGGTTTCTTAAAAGGTGCAGCTTCTTCATGGTTGCGACTTGTGCGACCTCGCAAATCCGTCTCTATCGACTTCTTAGCTGTTTCTTGATTTTGGTATGAAAGTTTAAAGATGCAAGTCGGAAAAAAAGAAAAAAGTAATTCTGGTAAGCAAGAATACTTCGAAAAGTGGCTGGAAAATGAGTTTCGTAAATAATTATACAAGAGCATTTATAGAGAAAATATGGTCTTACTTTGAAGATAGATGTGTCATAGCTGAGTAACTATAACTTAGGTCTAAAGGCACAGTTACGTAAAATTTGAACCACATTACATATTTATAATGTATAACTTGAGCTTGTAGAGTTGTTTTTAAAGTGCTTGAATGAAACTGAAGTTTCGGGATATTTGAGAAAATTATTTATTATTTTACTGATGTTAAAATGCTCATTGTTATTATAAATTAGTCTAATTCCTTTTTAATCTAGTTTTAAAATTGTTTATCTAAGAGTTAAACAAAACTAAAGTAATTACCGAGTGTTTTCCTTATCAAATACAGCTGATCCACATCCGATTTTCCTGGCCAGAGTGCGTCTCCTCTTAGAAGTTCTGCTGTCACGCATCCAATTGCCCACACGTCAACAGCAGGACCATACTGAGTTTCACCAACTAATAGCTCAGGAGCTCTATACCATCTAGTGGCCACGTAATCGGTGTAATTATCTCCTGGATCTAGGAAAAAATCACCTTTACTAATTCCTGATACATAGCACAGAAAATAATTATTCATATTTTGTTTTCATTAGAGCTATACAGAAATGCAATAACAAATGTAGTTTTAAAGTACTGTGCTTATTTGAATACAAATTAAGACACTTATTTTATCTTACTTAAAGTCCGGGCGAAACCGAGTCACAAAGTTTGACAATACCATCCTTTGTTATTAATATATTTTCTGGCTTTACATCTCTATGTATGCACTAAAAGTAAAGAATGCGTTTTAAAGTTATTTTAAATAGCATTAGAGAAATTTAGATAATATTCTAAAAAACATTTTCTAATAAACAAAAGAAGAAATAATTTTTTTGCAGCAAAGACAGAATACATTTACAATATTTATACCTTCTCTGGGTTTCGAACCAGGGCCCTGCGGTAGAGTAGTCAGGGTTACTAGCCACTGTACCGTTGGATGGCATATAGTTTTTATCAGCTGATATTACCCAAAGCGATACAGGAATTCATCTTCGCTACGAAGAAATATGTAAATTTTTGAGCTCGTTGTTTTTATACATGCAGAGAGAAGTGCATAGGGTGCTTCAGACCTTCAATTTCAGGGCGAGTGGTTGGATGAAGCTTCGCTTTTGGAAGGTGGAACATGTCACTGAGAAGGCATTTGTGACATATTGAGAAACGGCATGTGATTGGGAGAATGAAAGCAAGACAGACACTGACACAGATTTGTAAAGATATAAAATTGACCAAATGCGTCTCAAGAATCTGGAAACTCTTTAAAACACTAGTGATGTATGCAGAGAACAAAGTCAAGGTAGAAAACGCGTAGCAACAGATCGTTTTTTTTTTTTTTTTTTTTTTTTTTTTTTGAAAACGATTGCTAAAAGAAATAAACAGCTGACGTTAATTCAGATTGCTAGGGCGTCCACGTCTGCTACGGCATATCAACCAAACAGATGTACCGTGAGTCACAGGCTGCATGAAAGAGGGTTGTATGCAAGGTCCACGATGTGTGTCTCGTTAATTCGGGTCAGCGAGGTTCTGATGAGCGCTGTTGTAATGCAGCAGAAAGGACCGTGATTGGAGTTCCACAGACTGGAGTTATCAGTGTCTCAGTTTGGAGGGGGGGAGAGATGCATAATAAGTCTGAAAACATCCGCGAAAGCTATCGATACAAAAGTGGTGGTGGTGTCAGGGTGTGGGACGGACATCATTCTGAATGGCTGCAATGACCTACACGTTTTTACCAGTGTAGATACTATCAATGCTGAAACATACAGTGATGAGGCTTATGGTCCATCTATTACGTTGTTTAGGGGTGCAATCGGAAATAACCTTATGCTAATGGACGATAATGCTTGTTTCCCATGCTATGCACTAGTGAACGATTAGCCTGGAGTCGAAGTAATGGACATTTAAAGGGGAGGACACGCCCACGTGACTGTTTACGTTCCATATCTGCAGCTGTGATATTTCTTTCCTTTCGAATGTTTTCTTTATGATTGCTGCCTCACAATTTTTTTTTATTTTCCCTCCTCTTTTGAGAAGCAGGAAGGTAACTACTCATCTTTATATCTTCGTTTCCGTTAGCTGTTTGTTTACCTCGTGTTAGAATTACGCATTATCGTTTTCTTTCAATTTTGAAAGTTTGAATTGCCGTTTTCACAAAACAAAACTGCTTTTTTAAAAGCAAAATGAATGCTGTTAATGCTAAAAGGGCATCTGGTCAAAGACCAAAAAGACGGAAGAGGCATCAGTATTATGGAAATCAACATACAAAGCGTGAGTGTGTTGACATAGACCTAAACATTTCTGCATCAGCAAGAAAGATCGGTAACGATTCATCTGCATCAGCTGAACTTGTGGATAACATGAATGATAATTTTGATGGTTATGCTATTATCGATAAAAAAACTGTTATTTTCAGCATTAGAACAATGTTTATGTTGTTCGATATGCCATAATAAAATACATATAAATTCAGAAATAAATTATGGGCTGACGATAAAAATCAATGTTACATGCAGTTCTTGTGGAATAATTTCCTCTTTCAAAAACTCTAAGATGGTTGGAAAAAAAACAGAATGCTTCTGACTTAAATAGACGATTTATTCTGGCCATGAGGTGCATTGGCAAAGGACTAGCAGAGTGTAAAACCTTTTGTGGACTTATGGACTTACCATCGCCTGTCGCACAAAAATCTTATGACAAGATTGTAAGTCATATACATGCAGCTACATATACTGTTGCAGAAAAAAGTATGAAAAATGCAGCTGATGAAGAGGTCCAGTTGACTGGTTCCATGGATTTGACAGTTAGTGGCGATGGCACCTGGAAAACTAGGGGCCATTCGTCACGTTTCGGTGTGTGACGTCTATAATTGGCAGTGAGACAGGCAAAGTTATAGACAGATATACTTCTAGTGCGCACTGTAAAGGTTGTAAAACTGCGAAAGATTTTCGTTCAACAGAAAACTATTTAGAATGGAAACGTCTTCACGCGAAAGTGTGTGCAAAAAATCATTCGGGATCATCTGCCAAGATGGAAGTGAACGGGATGGTTGAAATGTTTTCTCGATCAGAAGAAAAATATGGTGTTCGTTATGTGAACTATATTGGTGATGGTGACTGTAAAACTTATTTAGCACTTTCGAATAATAACACATATAGTGATCCCATTTCTAAAATAGAATGTGTTGGTCATGTTCAAAAAAGAATGGGTACACGTTTAAGAAAATTAAAAAGTGAATTTCGTGGAAAAAAGCTAAGTGACGGAAAACCTCTTTGTGGTAAAGGTCGTCTTACCGATGTCTTGATCGACCAACTTACTACGTATTATGGTAATGCCATACGAAAACACTGTAACAACTATCGTGATATGCAGAAAGCAATATGGGCTATATGGTATCATGATGTCAATAATGACGAAGCAATTCACGATTTTTGTCCAGATGAAGCAGATTCTTGGTGTCAATACAAAAAAGCTTTTTTTACTGGTGCACTGAAAAATTTTAAACATAAAAAATCTGTACCTGTGGCTGTTATGGATGCCATAAAGCCTATTTTTAAAGATTTGTCTCACCCAGACTTGTTAAAAAGGTGGTGTATTGGCGGGCGAACGCAAAATGCGAATGAATCGTTAAATTCATTGATTTGGACATTTTGCCCCCAAAACAACAAATTCTGCAAAAAAAAACATTGTGGAAATTGCAGTAAATTTAGCTGTAGCAAGCTTCAATGATGGAAAATGTGCAATTTTATCTTTGATGAGTGAATTACAATTGACATCTGGTGCTGAAAGCAAAACATTTGCTAAAAAGGCAGATGAACTTCGCTTAAAATTTGCTAAGCAACGAGCGCTGATTAACAGTTTAGAGGCTCGTATAGCTAAGCGAAGGGAGAAAAAGAAACAAGATGAAATGAATAAGCTAAAAGAAGGAGTTGTTTATGCACCTGGAGCATTTTGATTAATGTTACTAAAATATAAATAAGGAAAAATTAATATTAAAACTTTGAATTGAGTTTTCTCAAAATGTTAAATTTTAAGATTGCGCGCATAATTGCTTTCAAACTATATATGATAAATACATGAAAATTGAATCATATGTGTATCTTTATATTATCTACATGTTAAAACCAAAAAATATCATATTTTGATAAAAAATTTTAAATTTTTGATTAAAAAGTATCGAAATATTTTGATAATTTTTAATTTTTTAAAATTGTTTTACCATTTTATAAATTTAAGTAGTTTTTTTAATATATTCTGGTTTTAAATTAAAGTTAGATATATTCTAAAAGGATTTTGACCAAAAATTGTTTTCTGCATACCTTTTTTTTTAAATTTTATGATGCGCGCCGTACTTATTGATTTTTATTTATCTGTTAATCATGAGTATTTTAAATCAACAATTTGAAAATTATTATTGAAGTGAAAGTTTTTATTTTTGAACACAATGTTGAAAAAGGTGTGTGTTTTACATCTATAAGCAAAAATTAGAAATTATTATGATATTATTTGTGTATCAGAAGGTAGCGTTTAGTCATGTTTAACATTATTTCGGTTAACGCAAAGGTACTGTGCCCCCTTAAATCCGATGAAGCATGTGTGGGGCGCATAAGGACGTCGATTTTCATCATTAAATCTCCCACCTAGCATTCTCCAGGAGTTTCAAGGCGCTGTTCATCGTGAATGCATTTTTTACCCCAGGAACTCATAGACAGTCTAATACACAACGTGGGAAATCTCTATAAAACTTGCATTTTTGTCAGGAGTGACCGCATACCTTATTAATCTCCTTATTACTTTTTGTAATTGTAATATAATTGTAACATTGTAAATTGTAACCTAAACATTCTAATATCATCTTTTACATACTCAACTTTATGTCACATTTCCTGTGTTCTTATTTCAATTTATGTTTTTCAGAATCAGGAATTTTTTTTTTTTTTTTTTTTTTTTTTTTTTTGGCTGGGGTGATACGTTAGGGTATGAAAAAATAAAGATGTTGTGCAAGTTCTATGCGCTTAGAAACAAAAACATTTAAACTGCTTGAGTTTTTGGAGCTGTTCTTTTTTCTTCCCTTCTCCAGTGTGTTTTCACTTTGAAGAAAAACAGCCGTTGGAATGACAATGAACTTTGGATTTAAAGTACTCTTTGTTATGTTACACAAGTTTCAGACATTCTATCTAATTTTATTTTATGCGAGCTAATTTCATTGAAAATGTTGGCTTAGATTATGTGAAGGTTACACCAATATTTCTGAAATTTGCAAGATGACTAATGCAGTAAAATATTGTTTCTAAGGTAAAATATATAACTTTCACATTACAATTACAATAATATTTTACATTAGTGAAATGATTATTTCTTTTACACTAGATTAATGGAAACTGCTTCCACATTGAATTGCAAACTACATACTCAGCAGTAATTGCACGCTACAGGAAAATAGTGCTCTTCCAAATCTTGTGTGCTAGAGCACTCCTTTATTTGATTATATGGGGAGAATCTGCTCAGTGTTTTAAAAGGAAAATTGTGAAACTACTGAAAATATAAACATGGTGAAATTTCATAGGTTCAATAGACGGATTAATCTGCAAGCTTAAAGAAAACTGGCCCACCAGCGGCCGAGCGGTAAAGACGCTGAACACTGGTAGTTCGGTCTGAGGTTCGAATCCCGCGAACGGGCGGCTGCATGGGCGTTTTTCGTGCTTTTCCCCATGTGTAACGTGTATACGAGCCAGTT